GTCCCAACGGGACGCGATAAATCGATCCCCGAGAGGTCGATTTCTACCCACCGATTCAGGCGGGTAGTATAAACCTAGCCTTAGGGTTCATCTATACAGCGAGTCTCACAGGCCAGGTTGACAGACTCGGGCTTGGGCTATGGCACTAAAAATAGTTGTGTAGGCATTGTGGCTTGGGCTGGAGTTCGGGCTTTGAAGCCCCTCCCCTTCCTTAAGCTTCAGACCCCAAGCTCCAGCTCAAACATTTACGCAGCTATTTTTAGTGCCATAGCATGAACGCAGGTCTGTTGGTCTGGCCTCTGAGATTTGCAACTGCTCACTGGGTAGACGTACCCTTAGTTCTGTGTCTGACTCTACCCATCTATAAACTGAAGATAATAATGCTCATCTACCTCGAAGAAGTATTGTGATGTTTAATTAACATAATTGCTTTATATCCTTGGAGGAATGGTACTACAAAAGTGCAAAGTAGTATTATCATAGCCCCAGTATAGTAAAGTAACATAGCAAAGGGACATGGTGTTGAGCTCTAGGTCACCAGGTCAAATCCAGGCCTGTCTAGCAGTGACCAATATTCATTACCAACTTCTGACTCTCCAAGGTCTTGTCTTGTTAATACTTCTCAATCTCTTACTTGCCAGAGCCAAACTTTTCAAACCAGAGGTTGCAAGCTCACTTTGGTTGAAAGGACACATTTTTTCCAGGCTGTAATTTTGAACGTAGACATATTTGTTAAATTATGAGATCAGACCAAAAATAAGGATCTGATCTGTTTTTTTACACTAACCTCTTTACAGTGGAAAATTATGCATTTAAGACTGCAAAGTCCCTTCCATTTGAAACCCCTTTTTATTCTTTTGAAATGCAATTACTTTTCAATGAAATGTTAATGCTGTATTCTATTTTTACAGCTGCTTCCATGATGTATAGTGCAAAGCTGCAGTTTAATAATGCTGCTAAATGCTCTCCCCCTCCATTTCTTGGTGCTTTATGTTGGAGTAGAATGTAAGGATAATAGTAACTTGTTTGGGTTTCTGTTTGTTTTGAAAACACAGGACTATATCTGCAAAGACACATCACCATGCCAACGATTTCAATATATTTGAAGGAATGATCTGCCATGGACTCCCAGTTGTGACAATTTCAAGAGGCAAAGTGGTGTATGAAGATGGAGTTTTCAATGTCACAGCAGGAGACGGAAAATACATTACACGTAAACCATTCCCTGAATATGTCTACAAAAGACTCAAGCAGCGGGATGAGGTTAATTAAAACAATACATTGCGGTAGTGCTTGCAATCTTTGTGCAATATGAGGAAAACTAGCTTTTGCGGGGGGGGGGGGGGGGGGGGGGGGTTTT